TCATGTGCCCTAAGTTCAGAGTATGAGAAAGTGCTGTTCTTGGGGAAATTTCAGCACCAAACCCTGGGCAGCTCCCTTAGCCTTGAGGTGCCAGTGAGTCCCCGTGGAAAATTGGCTGATGTACCCTAACTCCACAGAATGGAGGACGGAAGTGCACATTGGCCTGTGTGTGTGTGTGTGTGTGTGTGTGTGTGTGTGGAGTTTAATCCTGCTTTGGCAATATGTTCCCCCACCATCCTGGGCCAGCATTAATCGGTGGGCTGGAGAGCCCATTTGGCAATCATGTGGCATCTTTAAGATGTCAGATGATTGGCAGATGGGTGGGACCTCCCCTGGACTGCTGTTGAATGCAGGGGGAGAATGAACTGCTGTCAACCAGATGTGGCAAAGAGGCTGAATTTGAGAAAAGAGTTTGTTTTAACTGTGTGCTGAGGAAGAACTCCAGAGCAGAATTTTCATAGCGTTTGCATATGCATTCTGTGAGTTATTTATGGCTGCAGCTCGTACGCTGATCGGTAAACATTATACCATCCATATAAACACTGCAAATAATTGAACAGTGGAAGATAGTCATTAACTTTCCCCGCACACAAGGTCTGGAACCACAACGTATATGAAGGACTAGACATACGGGAAAGGGATTGCTTTTTTATAAGATGTAGCGGAGGTGCTGTTTGCAAGGTGAAAAAAGCAGCCAGCTGGAAGAATGGTTTAACAGCAAGTGAAGGGTGTCAACTGGACCTAAATAAGAAATGATGCAGCAATGTGAGGAAATGATGATCATACGTTTGGAACAGGAGTGGGAAACCTGATCTTAAGAAATTGTATTAAATTAAATTGGTTTGATTTGATTTGTAATAATTAATAAAAATAATTCGGAGGGAAATAAATTATAACAGACCATGACAGGATTAGCAGGCCAGAGTTTTGGTTTATAACATTTCAAACTCCATAGAGGCTGTTTTATGCTCATTGCCCACTGGATGGGGGATAATCCACAGATAAATTCACATATCAAGGGCACAATTATAGACTAACTTTTCACTGGCATATTATTTTATAAATGCTGGATTTTATTTTGTATGGCCACCTGGAAATTGGGGCATGCTCTATGTATTGCAATCTAACCTCCCAAGGGATAGTAGTGAAAGTGGAGTACAAGGAGATTATCCGTTTTAATGCTGGTTTCACCATACTAGATGGAAGAAGCTCACATTGACGTATCAGTCTGCTTGAAGACTGGCCACACTCAATATTAAGTAGTTTTAGTGATTCTAAACCACTTCCCAAGTTAGGGAAACTGTTGCAAAGACTGAGTCACCTAACCTCAATTTCTGGTTTTATTCAAAATTCTAGCCTCTGTAATATTATTATACCAGTTGACTTCCCAAACATAATTAACTGGCAGCCCACACAGCCTGTATTGCAACAGATCAGTCCTGATGTAACCAAGTCATGTCTCACCAGGACCATATTTGTATATGAAATATACAGTGGTAACTCGGGTTAAGAACTTAATTCATTCTGGAGGTCCATTCTTAAGCTGAAACTGTACTTAACCTGAAGTACCACTTTTGCTAATGGGGCCTCCTGCTGCCACCGTGCAATTTCTGTTCTCATCCTGAAGCAAAGTTCTTAACCTGAGGTACTATTTCTGGGTTAGCAGAATCTGTAACCTGAAGCATCTGTAACCCGAGGTACCACTGTACATGATTTTGTCTGTGACTGATTCTGCTCTTTCCTTGGCCAAAGGTAGCCTGCATCTATCAGGGCATGTCTCTTCCTCTTCAAAGGAGAAAATAACACTTGTAGGGTTTTTGTTAATGGGCATCTAAACTGTTTTGTTGCGTTATTTGTTGTTGTTCAGTTGTGTCGGCCTCTTCGTGACCCCATGGACCAGAGCACGCCAGGCCCTCCTGTCTTCCACTGCCTCCCACACTTCGGTCAAGCTCATGTTAGTCGCTTTGAGAACACTGTCCAGCCATCTTGTCCTCTGTCGTCTCCTTCTCCTTGCGCCCTCCAACTTTCCCAACATCAGGGTCTTTTCCAGGGAATCTTCTCTTCTCATGAGGTGGCCAAAGTATTGGAGCCTCAGCTTCACGATCTGTCCTTCCAGTGAGCTCAGGCTGATTTCCTTCAGAATGGAAGGGTTTGATATTCTTGCAGTCCATGGGACTCTCAAGAGTCTCCTTCAGCACCAGAATTCAAAAGCATCAATTCTTCAGCTATCAGCCTTCTTTATGGTCCAGCTCTCACTTCTTTACATCACTACTGGGAAAACCATAGCTTTAACTATATGGACCTTTGTCGGCCAGGTGATGTCTCTCCTTTTTAAGATGCTGTCTAGGTTTGTCATTGCTTTTCTCCCAAGAAGCAGCCATCTTTTAATTTCGTGACTACTGTCACCATCTGCAGTGATCATGTAGCCCAAGAAAGTAAAATCTCTCACTGCCTCCATTTCTTCCCCTTCTATCTGCCAGGAGGTGATGGGACCAGTGGCCATGATCTTCATTTTTTTGATGTTGAGCTTCAGACCATATTTTGCCCTCTCCTCTTTCACCCTCGTTAAAAGGTTCTTTAATTCCTCCTCACTTTCTGCCATCAAGGTTGTGTCATCTGCATATCTGAGGTTGTTGATATTTCTTCCAGCAATCTTAATTCCGGTTTGGGATTCATCCAGCCCAGCCTTTTGCATGCTGAATTCTGCATGTAAGTTAAATAAATAGGGAGACAATATACAGCCAATATACAGTGGTACTCCTTTCCCAATTTTGAACCAATCAGTTGTTCCATATCCAGTTCTAACTGTAGCTTCTTGTCCCACATAGAGATTTCTCAAGAGACAGATGAGGTGATCAGGCACTCCCATTTCTTTAAGAACTTGCCATAGTTTGCTGTGGTCGACACAGTCAAAGGTTTTTGCATAGTCAATGACACAGAAGTAGACGTCTTTCTGGAACTCTCTAGCTTTCTCCATAATCCAGCGCATGTTTGCAATTTGGTCTCTGGTTCCTCTGTCGCCTTATTGTGACACCTCAAAAGTTACCAATCCACTGAGGATGTGATTATCTCACAAATCATTGTCAAAATTACTGCTTTCCTTCCTGAATCCCAGTAGATTTCCAGAGTCCACTAACAAGATCAACAATAACAGCATGTGGAAATACTATAAACTCCACATGTTGTTCATAAATGAGGCTGGGGTTACAAAGTGCTCTGTCTTTTGCCTCCTTGTATGTTAGGGTGTGCTTTGGCCAGCTGATTCTGCTATGATCTAAAACAAAAAGACTGCACAGTGAGTATTATGTGCCCCATTCTTTCTTTTTTCTGCAGTTAACCATCCAATTCAGAGTTTCTTAGTCTTAAATAACGCATCTCAAATCCAGGCACATACACCTTAGTGCCCCCCATGTTATTTTGGACTAGTGTTTTGTAATACTTTTCATACTGGTCATTCTTCTGCTACTTCCATATTTTGCAAGGCGGGGATTGGAACATTTTTGCCCATTTGAAAGGGGCCTAAGTGTGGAGACCAGGCTTTCAATCTGTACATGCCGAGTCCTCCGCCATTCATGAAAGCCTGCAACGAAACTCATGCTTCCAGAGAATGCATCAGGGGGAGAATGCAAACTGTGGTCGTCTCCGTCCTGAGGACACATTTCCTAACCAGGATCACAGCAGCAATAGTGCTGCTTCTTGTAATGCTCCCTTATAGCGTGGGCAAGGTGCATTCTATTAATTGCAGCATATATGACGATCCTCTGCCTATACCTCACAAATATTATCAGCCGGGTGATTTTGTCATTGGAGAGATTGTTTCTCAGGTCTTCCTCTTTCAAGACAGTCCCTCATTCACAGAAGTGCCCACGCAGATGTCCATTGGTGAACCTGTGTAAGGAACCCTTTATTTCTCCCATGTCTTCTGGTCCCTTAGACTATGATGTGATTTGATGCTTCATTAGTAAGATTCACTTTTCAGTGTGAGGAAAGCTCTATTCCAGCAGTTACGAGTGCTGAACAATTATTCTGCCTGCCTCTTAGTTACGTTATGAGAATATTTCGTGCCCAAGCCTGATGGACATGAATGGAACTTATGGGATGTCTCTAGAACAAGACAACAGTGAATCGTGACCTTAGTGAGTCTTTGAGGCACCAGCCAACCATTAGTTGACTCTTGCCTTTAGCTTCAGCTATCTCTTCCATTCACATCAGTCCATATGGGTGTTTTTAAAAAACTAAATGATTCATTTCATAAGATTATATTGTACAATACTGTAATGTATAAGAATCATAGAATCTTACAGCTGGAAGGGACCCAATGGTCATCTGGTCCTACCCCCATGCAATGCAGGAATCTCAGCTACTCTCAGCTATTATTTTATAGTTTTCACCATAGCAATGTTCCCTGACTGAGTGCAGGTTCAGTCACACAGAATGGAGGCAGAAACACTGGCCTGATATGGAAAGCAAATTCTACGTTGCAGAGCATATTCTCTACCATGGAGCTACAACCATTTTCAGACACTTATTTCCATATTTCGTTAACCCTTCCCCTATTTAACCCTTATCTTCATGTCTTCATAATGTTTTAAACTTCAGCTCAATCATGAAAGCAGTGGGTGGTGTGAGGCTGAAATCAAGATATGCCTTTGTCTTTCAGACAACATCCCACAGTATGCTGGGCTAGATCCTGGCAACATGATGCAGGTTAGCCACCCCTGGTCTAGATATACTGTGCTAGTTCCCCGTAATGTAGCAGGCAATGGCTCTTTACTCAGAATCTTTTCATACAGAGGAAAAAGTGTTTTAAGAAATCTTCCTTATATATTTCATCTAAAAGGACCTGCTAATAGATTATATCTTCCAATAATTGTATATCCCAGCATTTTCAGACTTTTTAAAGTTCCAGCTCAACCACGAGAGTAGTCAGAGGTGTAACAATGAAAGCAAGAAATGCCCTTTCCTTTGCCTCATGAAACAGACTGTAACTCTCATTCCAGGTCCGTTCCTAAGAACTACCAGCACATCCTGGCTTTGCTGCTTGCTGTCAAAGAGATCAATGAGAACCCCCAAATCCTACCCAACATCTCTTTGGGCTTCCACATCCTCAACAGCTACTATGTGGCAAGGAAGACATACAAAGCCAGCCTGAGCCTCCTTTCCACACAACACAGGTTTGTTCCCAACTACAAGTGTGATACTCAGAGTAAACTGATAGCTGTCATTGGCGGACTTGCTACTGAAACCTCTGCCAACATGGCTAGCATTTTTGCCACCTACAAGATCCCACAGGTGAGACATATTCATTGATGCATGGGCATTTTACAACAATGGCTCATATCTTTGCATTCTTTTAATCCATACAACACACCCTCCTTCCTTTCAGCTCACATATGGATCATTTACCCCAGTGCAGGATGACAAAACATTGTTTTCTTCCTTATATCAGATGGTCCCAAAGGAAGCCCACCAGTACATTGGGGTAGTCAGGCTCCTTCACCATTTCAGATGGACATGGATTGGGCTCTTTGCTGTAGATGATGACAATGGGGACAGGTTTTTGCACACAGTGGTTCCATTGCTTGATCAGAATGGCATCTGCTATGCCTTCATACTACGAACAGCAAAGAGGACATTTATGGAAGAGCTGATGAACATGGTATTAGCACAACTGGGAAAATACCCACTTCTTCAAGATAGAAAAGTCAGTGCATGTTTTGTATATGGAGAGGATCCGGCCATGCCAGTTTTGAGAATGTTGCTGTTTTTCGCAACATTGTATGAATTGCCACCTGTGGGAAAAGTCTGGATTGTTACATCCCAATGGGATTTCTGTGCAACATCTATGCAAAGGCTTTGGGATATTGGAAGCTTCCATGGTACCCTATCCATCACGGTTCGCTCAAGGGAGCCACTTGGATTCCAAAGTCTTCTTGAGATCATTGAACCTTCTTGGGCAAAAGGAGATGGCTTCATTCAGAATTTCTGGGAGCAGTCATTCAGCTGCTCATTAAGAAAATCTGGTGGGAATGTGGAGGGAAAGAAAGCCTGCACTGGCCAAGAGAAGTTGGAGAGTCTTCCTAGTACTTTTTTTGAAATGAGCATGTTTGGCCACAGCTACAATGTCTACAATGCTGCTTATGCTGTGGCACATGCTTTGCATGTCCTACGTGAATCCAGTCCCAAGCCTAGTCATTCAGTGGAAGGAGGGAGGCTGACATATCAAAGTTTGCAGCCTTGGCAGGTAATTGCACATTGAAAGCAAAAGTCTATTAAGTACGCCATAAAATATACTTGAGTATATCCTTAAACTTTCTTGATCTTGCCTAATCTTTAGAAAAACTTTAATCTTTAAACTGACTTTGCTTATTTCCATTTTTGGAAGAACATTGGGATATTATATTTCTAAATAAATAATTGTTGAAACTAAGCAACCAGCATCATAGTAGCACCTTCTTTCAGAAAGATGGCACACCCTGCCACTCTAATGACATTTAAAGTTGCACAAGGACTTTAGAAACACCCTGTATTCTGCCATCAGGATGGCAAAATACAAATCCCAGACCGTTGTGGCAAAGTTCCTTGTGGCTTGACTCTGGGCAGCTTGGCATGTCTTCATTCCAGAGCCTGGCAGCTTCTATATCTTCTCCTCTGAAAATCCAAGGAGTGGATACAGGCAGTGGAGATGGATGGGGAATACCTATCTATGAGCAAAGCATGGTCTTCTGGGTCCATCACAGAGTGGCACCAAACATTTTGGGATTTCTGAATATCCTGAAGGTGCAGAGACAAAAATCAGAAAAAGTTTATTGACCTCAAAACATGCTATGATGCCATTGTGGGAAGCAGGACACTGGACTAAATGGACAGGGCAGTTAAAATATCTCTCCTTAGAATGGCAGTACTAAGAACCAATATACCTGTTAATATCAAGTCACAGGGTGCCATCAAATGTCACTCTGTTGCTAAATCTGATGTAATATGAAAGCATTGTTTTATGTTGGGATTTCATCTCTTAACTTTCTTCAGATAATGTCTTGCAAAAACAACAACAACACCTCAATGATGCTTTATTTCATTTATTTTTAAGACAACTTCACAGGGCCATTTCTCCTCAAATTACTGCGTCAGTTTCACAGTTCTTTGCCTGAATCACTGCTTCTTCCTAGCCCTACATTGTGGTTACTCACTATGACTTTGGTAATATAGTACAAACTCATGATCAGCCATGGAACAAGGGGAGGGGGGGTTCATACTCCGTTCCTTACTGCTCCAGTGGGTGTGGAGGGGGTCAGGGTGGGAGAAGAAGCCTCAGAAGACGGCTCCAGATACAACCTTGATCAGGAACAATCCAGATTTAGGGAAGCTAGACATTTGCCCATTTCATTGCAGAGCTTTTAACCTTTTATTCCCATTGTGTTTCCTTTTCTCATTCACTCAAGCTGCATAACTATATAGGGAGCATCTTGTTCAACAACAGCGTCGGCGAGAGTGTAGCTTTTGATGAAAATGGAGAACTGATTGCAGATTTTGATGTTACAAACTGGGTCACGTTCCCCAACGGCTCTTTCGTTAGAGTAAAAGTTGGAAGATTGGCTCCTCGGGATCCTTCAGGCAAAGAGTTAACAATTAATGATGAGCAAATCGAGTGGCATAGAAGTTTTAACCAGGTGAGATGAAGCTGCAGATGCTGGAATGTATGACATAACCAGTAATCGTTCCATTTTTAGCATCTAGGTTTCTTATTGCCTTCAGGTGCTGAATTGTTCTGAGTAGCATTGCGTTTTTAAACTACAGTTTCTTTCCTTCTTGGTAAACCAGCTGTGGGCAGTGAGGAGGTACTACAACCAGTGCTGTTTTTCTAGAAAAAGTGGCACTGGAACTCACCCTGAACACCATCCCTGTTCTCTTTGAAGGGCAATGGGGCCCACCTGAGCAGTGCCAGAACCGAGTTCTGGTGAGTTCTGGCTGATAAAAAGACCGGACTATAACCCAGCCTCATGCAACATAGATCACATTCCCAGAACAAGTCTCAGTAAACAATGCAACAAATTCATCTAAGCAGTCCTGACCTCTCCAAAAATCGAGTATTTTCTTTTATGGCCAATAGCAATGCTTAGGAGACCACTCCTGAACTGAGGCTGCTCAAAATACCTGCTATTTCATGAACTGATTATTGAAAACAAAGCAAAAAGCAAAAACAAATTCTGCTTTCTTTCTGAATAAACCTTAATTAAAAAGTTAGAAATTTTGGTCATGAAGATAAAAATTAAAAATGCTCCTCTGCTCCTAGTGGGGGGAAATTTGCCCCCCACCCACAAATACGCCCCATTTTTGTGAGAAGACACCAGCTGGTCTCTCCCCATAGGTTGTGTGTGTGTCTAGGGATTTTGGTGGGCAGCTCTGTCCTCTCGATCTTCTCCTGAGCATTTCCAGTTCCCATCCAACCTCTCTCTCCAGGGTGGGTTTTTCTTACTGGTCTCCCTTTATGGGGGCAGAGTGGGAATTGTCAAGAGATGCTGCCATCGGCCATTGGGATCCCTCCCTTTTGCCTGCTCTACACTGTAAGGGTCTGTGATTGGCTTTTTGTGTGTTTACTTTTTTGTTCTGTCATTCAGGTACGGAATTTAAGTGCTTAATCGATAGGCACCCTGAGGCAATATTTGTCTAGGGCTACTCTAGAGTCACCTTTTGCAGCCTTTGGAGGTCCCTTGGGGCTACTCCCAAGTCCTGGATTGTGAATGCTGAATAGTGGGGGCTGTGTGTGCATGTTGGGTTCACAGATGTAAGACTCACTTAGGAAGAAGGGAGATGGTTCTTGTGTGGCAGAATGTGTCTGTTACATGCCTAGGGCTGGAAGGTGCTTCGCTCCTAGATGGTACTTCAAAACAGCTGCCTATACTTAAATAACTAGCTTATCGGATTGCCAGCCCTTATATCTAATATAGACATTTTCACCATGATTGAGTCTCTTGAGTCTTCTTCCAGGTGTGCTGGCAAATGATGTTGATCTCAGTTTTATGTTTTGGACAGGTGGTGCCCCTTTCTGTGTGCAATGACTACTGCTATCCTGGCTACAGCAGGAAAAAGAAGGAAGGGGAGAAATTTTGTTGCTATGATTGTGCTCCATGTCCTGAAGGGTTGATCTCTCACCAGATGGGTAAGAGAATAATGTATAGTAACTGGGGAAATGGGCAGAAAAAGAATAATCTAGCCTTGTTGAGTGTCCACTTTTAAAACACTTTGGTATGCAGAATGAGAAAACAAAGCTTTTTATGCAGCATGGGGAGTTAGATGTCTTTAGCTGCCAGTTTCTGCAAACTGTTGTTGGTGACACAGCTAAACTGCCTCTGAGATGTTCCTTTTCTACAATGGGGAATTCTTGATTCTCCCAAGCACTTCAATGGATAGGGCTATGAAATCAGAATTGTAACTGCTAATCTGTATGGGTAGGCATTACAAAAATTCCTTAGAGCAATGGACTGAGCAAGAGGGGTGACCACGCGCTCTTCATGGATCAGGCCAAAGTCGTATGAGACAAATGCATATTTTAGTTTCATCCACAACCTTTGGAATCAGAACATCAGGAACCATGGCAGCTATTATGATATACAGAAGGGAAACTCTTCAAATTCTTCATAGATTCATTAGGTAGTTCTATTTATATATTTCGACTTTAGCCATTTGGAGGAGCAAACAGGCTCTTTGCTGTTTTCCTTTGATTTATTATTATTTTAATTATTTATTATTTATATCCCGCCTCTTTCCCAGATCAGTACTCAAGGCAGTTTACACAAATGAAAATAAGACAGATGTCAGAGCTGCCTCCAGGTCCCAGCTCACAGAGGACCAACGCTAGCCGGTAGTAATGCACAAAAGTCTTTATTGAAGTACAGTTTCCATTTTCAAGCCGCAGCGCGCAGCTCTACGTCTTAGAAGCTAGACCGGCGAAGCTCCGTCTGAGTCTCCACCCCCTGTACACCAGCTTAAGACTCTAACCTTACTCCACCTCTTCCGTCTCTCCTTTCTCCTCTGGGTCCTTCTGCCCCCCGGGGTCTCCTCCTTTCTGGACTCTTCTGATGCTGACGCTGACCCCCCTGACTCCTGTCCCTCCTTTCTGCGGGCTTTAGGACCTGGCTCCCTATCCGGGCTACCAACTGCGCCGCCCTCCTGTACATTTGAACTTGGCGCGCGCGCCCAGCCTCCAACCTTCCTCTTGACCGTTTCCTCGCTCTCCGATGGAGGCGTGGCCAATCCTGACTCATCTCCTCCCGCTGGCGGTGAGCCGCCTGATCCCGATACCTGGGACTCCTCCCCCCTACTGCGCTCTGGTGGGGAAGCTGGTCCTGATTTCCAACTGCTGCTCTCTGAGTCCCCTCTGGCCCCTTCTTCCTGGGGTGTCCCCCTAGGCACCCCCCTTGCTCTGACCATGGGAGCCCCTTTCTGTGAATCTTCCGATTCGCTGGAAAGACTCAGAGACCTCGGGCCGCTGTCATCGCTAACATTTCCTTCGGATTCCTCCCCCTCGCTCTCTATTTCCTCCCTTTCCTGTGCCTCTGCTCCTGAGCCCCTGACAACAGATAAAATGCAAAGAGCTAAAAAACATATTTTTAAAAAATCATTGCAAATAAGTGAACTGCAATTCTATTAAAATACAGATAATAAAAACAAAACAGCACAGCACTATTAAAAGCAATTTGTTAAAAAGGGAAAAAAAAACCTCTGTCATTTCCCAAAGGCTTGTAAGAATAGAAAAGTATTCACCCCCCAGCAGAGCGACTAGGAGGGAGCCATTCTAACTTCTCTAGGAATGAACCTTCAAAGTCTGGGAGACCTATTAATATAATTTTTGCAGGACCATCCCCTGCTGGGGAAGAAGTAGCTTTTGAATAGAAACAACAAGAAAACTTCCTCTCTTTTTTGCGATTGTGTTACTGCTTCTATTTCTGCTTATGGGAATTTTATTCTTCCCACATCAGATGGGGAGAATCTTAGGCAATGTCTTGTGAAATCTGGTCTGGAACATTCATGGATGTATTCAGATCTGAATACATTAGTCTCAGTCCAACATGTGACCATTTTACGGTGTTCAAATTCAGTTAAGTCTTGAAATGTTTTAATAGCGCTTTCTTCTTTTCAGACATGGCTGCCTGTGTCAAATGTCCGGAAGAGGAGTACCCAAATAAAGGACAAAATCAGTGCATTCCCAAGGTGTCCAGCTACCTCTCCTATAAAGAACCTTTAGGAATCACTCTGGCCATCTTGGTTGTTTCTTTCTCTTTGATTACAACCTCAGTACTTGGGATTTTCATGAAGCACAGGGACACTCCCATAGTCAAAGCCAACAACCGGACCCTCACCTACGTTCTCCTCATTTCCCTCCTGCTTTGCTTCCTCTGCTCCTTCCTCTTCATTGGGCAGCCTGGAAAGGCAACCTGCCTTCTCCGACAAACGGCTTTTGGCATGATCTTCTCTCTGTCCCTTTCCTCTGTTTTGGCAAAAACCATCACGGTGGTTCTGGCATTCATGGCCACAAAACCAGGATCCAGAATGAGACAGTGGGTGGGGAAAGGACTGGCCAATTCCATTGTCCTTTCTGGTTTATTTATTCAAGCAAACATTTGCATAATTTGGCTGATTACTTCTCCTCCGTTCCCAGATGAGGACATGAACTCCCTGAAAGAGGAAATCATCGTGCAATGTAATGAGGGATCAGCTTCCATGTTTTACTGTGTCTTGGGATACATGGGCTTCCTGGGCATTGCCAGTTTCACAGTGGCTTACTTTGCCAGGAAGTTGCCTGACAGTTTCAATGAAGCCAAGTTCATCACTTTCAGCATGTTGGTGTTTTGCAGTGTTTGGTTGTCCTTTATTCCAACGTACCTGAGCACCAAAGGGAAATACATGGTGGCTGTGGAGATCTTCTCCATCTTATGCTCCAGTGCTGGATTGCTGGGTTGCATTTTTTCCCCCAAATGCTACATCATTATCTTAAGACCTGAGCTGAACAACAAGGAACATTTGACAAGGAGAGAAAAGTAAAGAATTTAAGCTTATAAATTTTTGCTGCTTCATGTGAAGCTTGTGGTCCACCAAGACCCCTAGATCCTTTTCACATGTACTGCTAGTAAGCCAGGTGTTCCCCATCCTATATTTGTGCATCTGATTCTTCCTGCCTAAATGCAGAACCTGGCATTTGTCAATATTGAAATTCATCTTGTTAGCTTGTGCTGAGTTCTCCAATCTGTTCAGGTTATTTTGAATTCTGATTCTGTCCTCTGCGGCATTAGCTACCCCTCCCAGCTTGGTGTCATCTGCAAATTTGATGAGCCTCCCTTCAATTCCTTCATCCAAGTCATTCATAAAGGCATTGAACAACAACGGGCCCAGGACAGAACCCTGTGGCACCCCACTTATCACTTTTTTTCTAGGATGATGAGGAACCATTAATGAGTTGGGTTTGGGTTCCGTCAGTCAACCAGCTACAAATCCACCTAACAGTTACCTCATTCAACCCACATTTTACCAGCTTCCTCAAGAGAATATCATGGGGGACTTCGTCAAGGACCTTACTGAAATCAAGATGCACTATGTCCACAGCATTTGCCTGGTTCACCAAGTTTGTAATTCCTTCAAAAAAAGAAATGAGATTGGTTTGGCATGACTTATTTTTGAGAAACCCATGCTGGGTCTTAGTAATCACAGCATCCTTTTCTAAATGCTCACAGACTGACTGTTGAATTACCTCTTCCAGGACCTTCCCTGTTATCGATGTCAAGCTCACTGGTCGGTAGTTACCTGGGTCTTACTTCCCCCCCCTTTTTTTCATATGTTTTCATGTATGAAATAAAGCTTTATCCCTTTAACATACAGTGTATAATCTTCCTCAAAGGGATACTAACTGTGCAAGTGAAAACTCTTTCCAGTTGTGGTGCTCCCTTGCTGAACTGAGATAGCAATGGGCTTTGATGATTTCCATATTTAGTTTGATTTAGCTCAAGTGAAAAGAAAAAGGAGAGTCTCTTCCCATCAAAAACTGGCTCTCTGTGCCTGAGCCTCTCATCCCTGACACTTGCCTCTCTTCATTCCATTTAATCTACATTAAAATAGTTGGGGTTTCCTCAACAAGGTTCTCAATGGATGCCCCTATGCCCACACATGCAACCACACCCACAGCCTTCGCTCAGGTCAACAGTCTGAGCATTAACCACTGAAGCATGTAACATGTAAATACAATACAATAAAATAGTGTGTCATGGGAGGGGATGAGGAGAAGGGCATTATGGGTTTGCTTTTGTTCTTGGTTTTATTGTGTATTCTGTGTTTTTTATATTGCATTTTTATGTTGTGAACTGCCCTGAGAGCTATGAATGAAAGGTGGCATGCAAATTTTAATGATGATGGTGATCATGATAATTACTTACCTACCAAAGGCTTGGCCAAATAAATAAATCACAGCAAGCTTAAGAGAAACCAAAGTGGTGTGCTTGAGTCTCTCGCGCCCCCTACCACCAATATAAACTATATTTTTTTAAAAAAATGCCAACATACCGAAGAAGACTCGAGACAAGAAGGATGGGTTCCAGGTTACATTGATTAAAATAAAACAACTATAGAATGTGCAATCAGAATCATTCAACCAAATTAACCGAAGCCAAAGAGGATCCCAACTCTCCCATCTCCTGCGCCAGCTGTGATCCTGCAGCAAGGTCTGAGGAAACTCCTCCCCCCACTGTGTGCTCCTGGGGTGGATGAACCTGACATGTGCACCATGGCCCCATTGGGGAACATTCACCCCGATGTCCCTGACAGGCCCAAACACCAGTCTGGGCAGCTTGATGTTAGATATTTCCCAAAATATCCAAAATTCACCTACCTGGACCAAACACCACAGGAGGCAATCAGCTTCTGCTTGTTCTCCTCCACCCACAAAGATACAAAAGCTCAAAAAGAGCTCTTTGCAGAGCCTCCAGAAAAATAATGTTATCCTCTACAGACAGGTGAACAACATAATATAACCCCAAACTTAATGCAGCTTTGGGAAATGTATGCACTCCCATCTCCTGGAACACAAGTTTTAATCCTATGTATGATCTTCCTTCCCTCAGCCTTATTAGGGCAATGGGGCCCCTGTCAGACCCACTTTTCCAAAAGCTCAGACCAAAACAGCATCATTTGATGCTTTCACTTGCTGGAAGCCACCCAGAGCGGCTGGAGAAACCCAGTCAGATGGGTGACATATAAATAATAATAATAATAATCACTACTACCACTTCAGGGACAGGGAACTACAACTGTGTCCCAAACTCAGACATGGAAGCTTGCTTGTGGGCCCAAAACAAAACTGAATGGCCAAAGAATAGGATAATGGCAAGGTTCAGCAGCCCCAGCAGATCAGCTGAAGTGAAGAAAACCATTAACAGCCATAGATCATAGAAGCAAGCATAACTCTTGAAGGCTGCTGACTGCCAAAGGCAATGGCTTGAATACCTTGGCCAGAAAACCTGGCCTGAGCCGCAACTGTTGCTGCCCCAGTTCAGAATGAGTGCCTGCTGTAAGATCTCAGGTTGCTGTCCACGGCCAACCAGGCCCTCCTAAGTACAGACAAGACAGTGCTGTGTAAGTGGGGACCAATCCACATGAATTAAGAAGGGGCCATTGCCCGCGGGCTGAGTCAATGTATCCCTTAATGGTCACTACAGTAGCTCCCAAGCCACTTTGGTCGGCCTTAGTCTGCCTCCAATGCAATTGCACCCCTGTGGAGTGATCACCACATCTCCAAAAAGCTCTGCCAGAGACCTCTTGCGGTTTGGCATCAATTCACTGGAGTGAAAGGCTCCATAAAATGCCAGTAAGGCTGCCATAGAAAACAACAAACTCTCATAACTAGATGAAGAGAAGTTAAAAATGATAATAAATGAAATAATAATAAATGTGTCTTCGGCTATGTCTGAAGCAAGAGGAAGAACAAGCAAGTGGGAGCCTCTCTGGGTGGAGAAGATGAAGAAATTCTACTGGGTGACAGAGAGAAGGCAGAAGTGCTTGACATTTCCTTTGTCTCTGTCTTCACCCAAAAGGAAAGCAGTGCCCAACCTCATGATAACATAATTTAATGTATTTTTAATCTTTGTTGGAAGCCGCCCAGAGTGGCTGGGGAAACCCAGCCAGATGGGCGGGGTACAAATAATAAATTATTATTGAGAAGGGTTATTATTATTATTATTATTATTATTACTACTACTACTACTACTATTCTTATTAATGATGTAAGGAGGCAGCTGTAGGCCAAGACAGGAGAAGAGGTGGTAAGGGAACAACTAGCTACTTCAAATGAATGTAAATCTCCAGGACCTGATGAGCTGCACAGAAGGGTGCTAAAGGAGCTTACAGATGTAATTTCAGAGCCTTTATCTATGATCTTTGAGAATTCTTAGAGAGCAGGTGAGGTTTCTGTGGGCTGGAGGTGAGCAAATGTTGTCTCCTTCTTCAAAAGGGGGAAGAAAGAAGACTCAAATAACGACCGACTAGTCAGTTTGATGTCGATACCAGGAAAGACTCTAGAACAGGTAATTGGTCTGGGAGCACTTAGAAAAGGATGCTGTGATTACTAAGACCCAGCAGGGCTTTCTCAAAAACTAGTCATGCCAGACAAATCTCATTTCTTTTTTTTAATAGAGTTACAAGCTTGGTGGATCGGGGAATGCTGTGGACATAGTGTATCTAGTCCCCCATAATATTCTTTCCTATAAGCTGGTAAAATATGGACTAGATGATGACTGACCAAACCCAAAGAGTGCTCACTAGTACATGTGAAAATGATCCAGAGGTCTTATTGGTCTGCAAACTTAACATGAGTCCACAGTGTGACATAGCAGCAAAAAAGGCGCTAATGCTTTTCTAGGTTGCATCAACAGAAGCACACCATCCTGACCAAGGTAAGTCATAGTCCCACTCTATTCCACCTTGGTCAGACCACACCTGGAATACTGTGTCCAGTTCTGGGCACCACAGTTTAAGAAGGATGTTGACAGGCTGGAAGGTGTGCAGAGGAGGGCAGCCAAGATGACCAAGGGCCTGGAAACCAAGCCTGATGAGGAATGGAAGTTTAGCTTAGAAGAGAGGAGACTGAGAGAAGACATGATAGCCAACTTCAAATATTTAAAGGGCTGTCACATGGAAGATGAAGCAACATTGTTTTCTCTGGGGGCTAGAACCCAAACCAACGGACTCAAGCTGCAAGAAAGGAATGTGCGTAGCCTTTTGCTGCGGTCCACGCGCTTTCTCTGCGCGCTCCTCTCAGCACTCGCGTCAGCTACCTGTGTACGCAGCGTAGAAACTGTTGCTGTGTGTGTGTGTGTGGAATAAATCAGGCTGCATGCAAGCGTTCCTTCTTATCTCTTTCCAGTCTTTATTCGTGTAGAAAAACAACTCTTAAATCTTCCCCGGCGAGAGAGCGCTCATCTTGCTGTCTCTCTCCGCAAAAGCGAAACAACAATAAACACAGAGAAAACACTCCCCTCTGTGGACAAAGCCACGCCTCAGAATGTGAGACGTCACTCAGAACTTCTTAACCCTGTAAGTTCTGATTCTCTCCACACCCCCTCTCGCCTTGCATTCTGAGGGGAACTGTGAACACATATTTACAGACCTCTGAGAGTTCAACACCTTCCCCATTGCCTTTCGCCCCTTCCTGGCGTCTTTGTCAGGCAATTGTTGAACCTCCTCAAAACTCCCAGGTTCGCACTGTGCGAAACCAACCCACGCATTGGTGACCTGAAACCTCTCAGGTGGAACCCCCTTCGTTGCCCGAGAGGATCGCTTGGGCACAAACTCTGATGCTCCTTCTGACCCACTGGGGCCAGCAAGTGTGTCTTCTCCATCAGACGACTCCCCCTCTGACTTGACCCGTCTGTGAGCTTTCTGCATTATGCTAACAGGAGATGAAGGCTCACTCTTGGACTCTCCTTTAACAACCTGTGGAGACGCCCAATCCTGTTCTTGACCCTGGTCATGGACCTGGTCCTCATCATCAGGTTCAGCCTCTGGCTCTCCCTCCTCCTCAGAATCAGACAGACAATCTGAGTGAACGTCAGGGCTCGCTTTGCGCCTTGCCCAATCATCTTGCTCACAGAACTCAGCATGTTTACTGATCAGAAGCTTGGTCTGATCACCTTCTGGATATGCAAACCTCCACCCCTTTGTCGCAGGTTCATACCCACTGAAGATCATTTTCTGGACCCTTGGACCACCCTGCTCTTGCAGAGACTTTGGTACCAGCACCAAGGCTTTCGTCCCAAACACACGGAGGAAATGCACCTGCGGTTTCTCTCCGTGGAGTACAAAATACGGGGTTTCACCTACTACTGAATTGTAGGACCTATTATTCGTGAAATTGACAGCTTTAATCGATTCAGCCCAAACACCTTGAGGCAAACCAGAGTCATACAGTAGAACCTCTGTTGCTTGAACCAGAGCTTTACTCCTAAGCTCTGCCACTCCCTTTTCCTGAGGAGAAGTCACCTTGTGACGTATCCCTTTCTGGTGAAAGAAACTCTTTAGAGCAGACCCAGTGACCTCTGAACCTCGGTCGCTCTTGAACCCCTGCACCTTGGTGGAGAACCGTTGTTCCACCTCCGCAATCCAATCTTTGATCAGTTGCGTTGCCTCTTCCTTAGCTTTCAGTGTGTATACCCATGAGTTCTGGGTAAAATCATCTGAAAGCGTCAGCACAAACCTGGCCCCGCCCAGACTAGGCTTTGGCATGGGCCCAAAAAGGTCTGCATGCACAAGCTCAAAAGGTTTTGTGGTTACCCTCTCCACCCTGGGATAAGTGTACCCTTTTACCTTTGCTTTTCTGCATGCCCTACACTTTAGGGATCTGCCACACTCCTCTATTTTGCATCCTTTAGTGCACTCCGGCAACATCTGGATATCTTCACAAGAACCATGTGACATTCTCTTGTGCCACACGCAAGCACATGAAACATGAGTGTGAACGGTTGCACACTTTGCCTGTGCTTTCCCAGCATTCCCTTCACCCTCCAGAGGTGTTTCCAGAACAAAGAGGCCATTCTGCCCTTTTGCAACACTGACAAGTTGCTTCCCCCCTCTGGAAATTGTACAGACATTCTTCTCAAAGCAAACCTTATACCCCTCCTGTAAGAGACAAGGTACAGATAAAAGACAATGTTTTATCCCTGGCGCCATGAAGACTTCCAGCTGCGCCTGCAAAACAGAAACATAAACATTTCCAACATTAGACAAAGGCATTTGTGACCCATCTGCAAAACAAACTGTTTTCCCAGCTGAAATAGGTTTGCAGTTCCACATCTCGACACTAGGTGTCTCTAGGTGTAATTAGGTGCCTGTTCGCTCCAGAGTCTACAATCCAGCGCATCACTTTGTCCTCACTGGAGCTGTCCTTTAAAATCACCATGGATGCAGTTAGCTGATAAGTGCCGTCTTCACCCTCTGAGTCATGTACTCTCTGAGGTTTCCCACGCCTGCCTCCCCTCCTGGACTGGTTGCCATGGAAACCTGGCTGGTTCCCATGAGAAGCGACCTTGGAAGCTTCCTGCCCAGTCTCCTTCGCTCTCTGGGGGCAGGAGCGCCGCAGATGGTCAGGAGAATTGCAAATGTAGCAGCGACGAGTGGAAAAAGCCTGAACGGAGCATTCCGCTGGCCTGGCCCCTCTGCAACCTGAGGAGCCTCCCGGGCCAGCTTTACCCTCTCTGATACGCCGTTCTTCTTCGTCACTCAAACGACCTGTCACATACAACAGCGTAAGCGCTTGCGGATCCATCGACTCCAAAGTTAGACACAGATTGTCATAACTTTTGTCCAAAGAGCTGAGCAAGATATAAACTTTCAGTTCCTCAGAAAAGTTAACTTGCAACAGCCTCAACTGGTTGAACACAGAGAGCATCTCAGTTACATGCTTTCTGATGCTGTCTCCAGGACGCAGCTTCATCTCAAACAGGCGTCTGGTAGTATGTATCTTTGCCCCAGCTGTGGTCCTGTGGTGCACTCTTTCCAGTGCCCGATAAGCTTCATAAGCAGTCTCCAGCCCCTCCACCAAAGGTAGCTGCGAGCCCTCCAAACTCAGCACGATAGCTCCCAGGGCCTTTTGATTCTTTCTCTGCGAAGCGTGTGCAGCTGCAACTTCTGCCGCCGCAGCACCGGCCGCTGGTGGGGGTAGTGGAAGCTGTTGGACTGCTTCCCACAAACCCTTGGCTACCAGCCAGGCCTTCAGCTTCCTACTCCACTCCTCCCAGTTCTTTCCGTCCAATTTCTCAAATGGGACTGCGAACGATTCATGGCTGTCTGCCATCTTCTCCCCCGGGGCCCAGCGTACTCACGTAAACAGCAGCAGCTCTCCAGCACCCGGTTCAGCAGATCAGCTTCTCCAGTGAGTTCCACTGCCTTCAAACACTTGGCAGGACTCCAGCTGGCTCCCAGCGTCTTCTCAGCTGGCTTCAACACACACAGGCACGTCTTGGCAACAGCTTCAAAGCGTTTTCTGACCGTCCATAACCTATGGAATGTGCGTAGCCTTTTGCTGCGGTCCACACGCTTTCTCTGCGCGCTCCTCTCAGCACTTGCGTCAGCTACCTGTAGCAGAGTGTACGCAGCGTAGAAACTGTTGCTGTGTGTGTGTGTGTGTGTGTGTGTGTGGAATAAATCAGGCTGCACGCAAGCGTTCCTTCTTATCTCTTTCCAGTCTTTATTCGTGTAGAAAAACAACTCTTAAATCTTCCCCGGCGAGAGAGCGCTCATCTTGCTGTCTCTCTCCGCAAAAGCGAAACAACAATAAACACAGAGAAAACACTCCCCTCTGTGGACAAAGCCACGCCTCAGAATGTGAGACGTCACTCAGAACTTCTTAACCCTGTAAGTTCTGATTCTCCCTGTAAGTCACAATTCTGACCAAATATCAGGAAGAAATTTTGACAGTAAGCTCTGTTTGACAGTGGAACAGACTTCCTCTCCTCCTTTGGAGCTTTTAAAGCAGAGGTTGGATGGCCATCTGTCATGGATGCTTTAGTTGATTTCCTAACAGCACTACACTACCTTTGAAACTGCAACTAATCCAGAATGTGGTAGCCAGACTGGTGACTGGGACCATATAACATTGGTCCTGAAAGATCAAGCACAATTCAAAGTGTTGGTGCTGACCTTTAAAGCCCTAAATTGCCTCAGCCCTGGATACCTGAAGGAATGTCTCCTTCATTCAGCCTGGACACTGAGGTCCAGCTCTGTGAGCCTTCTGGCGGTTCCCTCACTGCAAGAAATGAAGTTAGGGAACCCGGCATGGGGCCTTATGCGTAGTGGTGCCCTCCCATCAGAAGTCAAAGAGATAAGCATTTATATGACCTCCCATAAATATCTGAAGGCAACCCTGGATCAGGAAGCTTTTAATGTTTGATGTATTGTGTATTCTCTTATATTCTGTTGGAAGCCACCCAGAGTGGCTTGGGGAACCCAGCCAGATGGGCTGGGTACAAGTAATAAATACTGTTATCATTATTGATAAGGGACTACAAACCAGAATTTGCAAAGCGTTGTTATGAGCCAAGATCCTTGTGATCCCCTCTCTGGCATACTTTCAGAACCAAACCCAAGTTTGTTTACATGAAGTATGTGGAAATGCTCTGAATTAAAAAGGAAAATTACAAGGAGAAAACTATAAACAGTAATGAGGAGAAGACAGGAGTCTTTTTCACAGATGACTCATAAAACCAGGAAATTTGGGAACAGGTTTCAGCACAGTATGAGGTATTTAAACCAGCAAAGGTTATTTCTCTCCCAAGCCAGTAAAGGAGAAGCAGCCTTCTACTTGTGAATTTCATGGGATACAATGGCACATTCAGATAGGCATTGATATGCACAATTTAGTCCTCATTGCTGGTTCAAATGAAACTCAAGTTAAGCTCTTAAGTCTGAGGTATCAGCTCTGTCCTCATCAGATATGGATGCCTGTCCCTCATTGGACCAAATTTTGCGCATGTCTGCAATTGGCTCAGAATCTGTCTTATATTCTGTGAGCAAATGTCTTAACTCTAGAATGTGCTTTTGAGAAATATTGTTTTGCAAAGGTTAATGTGTTAAAGCTTTATTTTACAGATGAAAGAAACTCTCAGACAAACTTGAACCTTTTCTACATTAATATAATAGCAATATTATTATTTTTATGCGCTTGAAGTACTGGTGTCAATCAAAGATGTAATGATCTCCATGGTCAATTTGCCATGTCCGGTGAACTATGTATTAATGAAGAATACAGAAACAATGCCACTTAAACAACAGCAACAACTATGATCTCCTTATTAAATGTTATTTGCTGTTCAGCTCAGGCCTCAGAATAATGATATAGCATTTGGGGAAGAAAATAGAACCCAACAACCCAGCACTGGAGGACAAGATGGAGAAGATTTCCACAGCTACCATGTATTTTCCTTTCGAGCTCAGGTATGCTGGAACAAAGGACAGCCACACACTGCAAAACACCAACATGCTGAAGGTGATGAATTTGGCTTCATTGAAACTGTCAGGTAACTTCCTGGCAAAGAAAGCCACGGTGAAACTGGCAATGCCCAGGAAGCCCATGTATCCCAGGACAGAGTAGAACATGGAAGCGGAGCCCTCATTGCATTCCATGATGATCTCCCCATTCACAGAGTGCATGTCTGCATCGGGGAATGGAGGAGAATGAGCCAGCCAAACCATGCAAATGGCCACTTCAATCAATGAGCCAGAAAGAACAATACCATACGCCAGTCTTTTCCCCACCCATTTCCTCATCCTGGATCCTGGTTTGGTTGCTATGAATGCTAGAACCACAGTGATGGTTTTTGCCAAAACAGTGGAAATGGAGAAGGAGAAAACAATGCCAAAAGCCATTTGTCGGAGAAGACAGGTTCCCTTTCCAGGCTGCCCAATGAAGAGCAAAGAGCAGAGGAAGCAAAGAAGGAGGGAGATGAGGAGAACGTAGGTGAGGGTCCGATTGTTGGCTTTGACCATGGGAGTGTCTTGGTGCTTCCTAAAGACTGCAAGTATTAAAACTGTGATCACAGAGAACGAAACGGCCAACACGGTGAGAAAGATTCCTAAAGGTTCTTTGTAAGAGAGGTAGCTTAGAATCCGGGGAATGCATTGGTTTTTATCCTGGTTGGGATATTGGTCTTCTGGACATATGAAACAAACATCCATGTCTGAAAAAAGGATGGCACATAGAAATGTTTCAGCTGATTCAGGGAGTAACTGAATTTGAGCAGTTTAGAAGCACCTATAAGCCAGGAAATATTTGATTCAGAACTGACAACTCTCATTTATTTTCTATGTGTGTTTTGGCAAATTTTCACCCAGCTTTAGGATTCTCCCTCCCTCCCAAAAAGATGCTGTGGGAAGACAGTATTTCACCACATAATGGCCACATTTTTCATGCTGATTTTTCTTTACAAAAAAAGGGGGGTGCGACAATTGCGTGAGGAAGAACCTGAGGCTCGACCATTATGCGAGGAAACATTTTTTATTCATGAACAGACTTCTGTTTATGTTGCTAATGGCAGCTTCACACACACACCCCGCCCACTCCCCTTGTGCCTTTGGCTGGCACAGAGAAAGCGCGCTGAGGATGTCCTGCCACTATTATGCAGTTAATGCTCTGGAACTGATTTTAGGGAGCAAAGAAAGGGGGTGGACTATTATGCAGTGGCGACCATTATGTGGTGAAATACGGTAATAATATTAAAAGGAGAAAGAGCACCATGTGTTTGTCCATTACAATTGCCTGGTATGCAAAATTAGAAAATTCAGCCTATAGAGTTTTCTATTCATGCTAACCAGTCTCTTCAGTGGAAAGTTTTTGTCCATCAGCCCCCTATCTCTGCCCTTCCACCAGCTTTGACTTTTCCTCCTCTCCACTTATTCCTGTCTTCTCTCCTTTCAGACTCCACCCACCCGCCTGAACTTGGCTACCGGCCACTTGTATTAAGGTTCTAGAATAATGTGTGTGCTGCAATGAAAAACCAAAAGCTTTTCTATAAATGATAGGTATTATTATTTGTTTTATTATTATTTTGTTTTGTTATTTTCGCATCTTAAAAAGTAAAGACATCACCTTGCCAACAAAGGTCCATATAGTAAAAGCTATGGTTTTCCCAGTAGTGATGTATGGAAGTGAGAGCTGGACCATCAAGAAGGCTGATCGCCGAAGAATTGATGTTGTTGAATTCTGGTGCTGGAGGAGACTCTTGAGAGTCCCATGGACTGCAAGAAGATCAAACATATCCATTCTTAAGGAAATCAGCCCTGAGTGCTCACTGGAAGGACAGATCATGAAGTTGAGGCTCCAATACTTTGGCCACCTCATGAGAAGAGAAGACTCCCTGGAAAAGACCCTGATGCTGGGAAAGATGGAGGGCACAAGGAGAAGGGGACGACAGAGGACGAGATGGTGGGACAGTGTTCTCGAAGCTACAAACATGAGCCTGACCAAACTGCGGGAGGCAGTGGAAGACAGGAGTGCCTGGCGTGCTCTGGTCCATGGGGTCACGAAGAGTCGGACACGACTAAACGACTAAAAAACAACAACATTTTTATTTTGTATGTTATGAAAATACTAGATGGGGACTAGGAACATAGGAACCCTGTGCTATACCGAGTCAGATCCTTAGCATTGCTTACTGTATCTAAAGTCGAAGATTACATTTATTCCTACTGAAATTCATTTTGTTACTTTTTGCCCAGTTTTGCAGTCTCTCTCTCTTTAAACCCTTTAGCAACTACTTACTCTTCAGAAAATGTCTACACAATGATGTCAGCCTCCAGATGGTGCAAAAGCTCTCACCTGCTCATTCTGCCAATCAGAAAACTCCCAGAGACAGGTGCTTAGACCAGAGCTAGTTGTTGACTGACTGTGGCTCCTACCTTTCTGGTTAGAGATCATCCCTTCTGGACATGGAGCACAATTATAGCAGCAAAATTTCTCTCCCTCCTTCTTTTTCCTGCTGTAACCAGGATAGCAGTTGTCATTGCACACAGAAAGAGGCACAACCTGTCCAGAAATGTGACCAGTAAGATAAGCATAATTTCCCTCACTCATGCCCTGAGCTTGGAAACATTTTCTTAGGTGAAAAAGTGGGTTCAGGAAGGAGTCCCTGACTTGGTTTCCCAAATCAGTTCATGAAATAATTGGCCCATTGTGGCATTTAATCCAGTTTATTTCAGAAGTGATCTCTTAAGAGTTAAAAAAGATGGCATTTTTCAAGGATGAATGTATGAAATCAAATGTCTGCAAATGTAATGCTACCCAGGAGAATTGAACAGGCAGAACTCTGCACTGGCAAAATAGGAACTATTTCCATTCATTTCATTCATTCCTGCAGTTGAAGTTTTGTCTCACCTGGTTGAAGCTTCTATGCCACACAAGTTGGTCATCATTAATCGTTAACTCTTTGCCTGCCGGAGCCTGAGGATCCAGTCTTCCAACTTTGACTCTGTCAAATGATCCATTAGGGAGAGTAACCCAATTGGTAACATCAAAATCTACAATTAGTTCTTGATTTGTATCAAAATATACACTCTCTCCAACACTGTTGTTGAACATGGTGTTCTTTAGAAAGCCATGGAGCTTTGGTGAAAGAGACAATGAAACACGGTGAGAATGTGAGTTACTGAGTTCTATGCTTCCCTAAAGATGGAGCGGACTTGTGTCAGATGGTATCAGATGACGCTATTCTCCCCAGTACTAGGTATTCCCCCGCAGTCTGTAATATTGTCTCTTTCCCCCTCAACATTTAATTTAAAGCTCTCCTCATCAAGTTCATGAGACTCTTAGCAAACACATTCTGGCCAACTGCCGTGAGGTGCAATCAATCTCTTGCCAGATGTCCTTCCTCAAGGAAGTGGAGGCCAGGTCCAAGAAGCCAAATCTTTCCTGATAACACCACCTGTCCAGCCAGTGGTTTATTTCCAATATTTCCCCCTCTTTTCCTGGGCCACAACCTTCAACAGGAAGGAGTGATGAAAAAACCACCTGTGCCTCTAAGCCCTTCAACTTCTTACCCTGAGCCTCCTAGTTCCTTGCTATATGTTGAAGGCTGTCTCTGGCAGTACTGCTTGAACCATAGGGGCCAACTCCTAGGGGCCAAGGTCCCTTCAGTCCCCGCAATAAAATATTTGAGGGGGTCAGACCTCTCAAAGTTGATGGGCATTGCATGTCAAATGGTGTGCATGTGCCACATCTTGTGATCAGTTATGTGGGGCTGGGCTTACCTGCCCCCTAATATTGTATTCAAGTTGCACCCCTGGTTTTTACCCCCGTGAATCAGAAGGAAGGGGAGTGTGGTCTGTCTTTGTAAGGTGTGGCAACTTCTCTGTCACGTCATGCATCTTTGCACCTAAGAGACAGCGCACTTTGTGGGACTTCCTGTTATCTCTCTATACTGCTGCTTTTGTCCCCATCAGTAGGGGGTCCCCTGCTACCCCCATATGTCTCTTTCTCCTCTGTACACCACAGGAGCCAACTCTAATGCAAGGAGCAGGACACCCTACAAGTGGGGAACCTTCTGCTTCCCCAACATTGGAGACCCCTGCTTTTCCTGAGTAGAGCTATTGGCAACCTCCCATGGCTGCTGGGATGCTACCTTTGTCACACTGACATGACCTCACATTCTTCCAGGGATTTGCCTCCTGCACTGGGTGATCTTTCTCCTCCCGAGGGGCACCCCCTGTGTCACTGTCCCAGGACAGTCCACTCTGTTTTATCAATGAATTCCTCATTTTGCCTGATGACTTGAAGTGTGGATATGTGAGCCTCAAGCTATCGTACCTTCCCTTACAGGAAGGAAAGCAGCCTGCACTTGCTTCAGGTGTAGTTTTGCACATTTTCAGGCAGGAAGGCAAACATGGCACAGGTACGGCAGGTCATTGCAACCTCCATGTCTCTTGGTTCTAAGCACATGGTGAGACAAGCCTCCCCTCAAACTCTCTTGCTAAATGCCCTCACAAACGCCCCTGGTTACAAATTCACGAACTCCCAGAGTCTGCAAGCAGCTAAGGAGAACTGCTGCTGGCAGAGAACTCCTTGCCCAGCCCACTTCTTCATGCAGCCCGGCTTCCTCTCAGATCATGTGCTTTAGCAGAGCATGCAGCCAAGCACACCAAGAGCCACAAACCAGTTCACAATAGAGCCTTCAAACAGCTCAGACAAGAAACCAGCCTGAATCCTAAAGAAACAGTCTCACCCTCCTCTTTACAAGCTCCTGGTCAAGTTTATATGGCAGTAAGTCTCATTCCATGAACTTCTGATGAGACGCACATAGGACTCCCCTCAAAAGCAAAATAAAACATTGCAATGGGTGCCCTTAAATCTTTGCATCTACTTTAAAATTAAGCACATTTGGGTTTGGGTTGTTGTTGTTGTTTGATAAGGTATTATTATTTTACCTTAGATGTTTAGCTCACTGTTCCCTTATAGGAGGATTATTTGATTGTATTGCATCCTTCCTAACCTGGTGAAGGAACGATCTGCTGACTCTGTACATGTGGAATATTTTCTGTAGGTACTCAACTGTTGCCTAATATAATGGTGGCCCCCAGTCAGGGCCTAAGGAGGAATCCATCTTTTTAATGGGCACATAGATTCAGAATACCACCTGGGTACCTGGGAACTGGGGGAAATCGGTTGTTGTTCATTCCAATTATCTTTTGCAAATATAGTCATTTCTCTGCCCCCACTCCAACCACCAAAAGGAAACACCCAGATTCCATTTGGGTGAAACACATGAGAAATTGCATTCATCAGTTTAGTACAGCCTGAGTGAAATATGTTTTGTTTTATGACACAGTCACTACATCTCAGCAAAGAGGTGGAATTACCTGCCATGGCTGTATATTGTGAAATGCTGCCCTCTCTCCTTTTACTAATAGTTCATATTTGGATGCGAACATATACGTGGCATGCAGAGCATGCGCCACAGCATAAGCAGCATTGTAGACATTGTAGCTGTGGCCGGTCATACGCATTTCAAAGAAAGTATGAAGAAGGCTCTCCAACTTCTCTTGGCCTGTGCAGGTCTCCATGCTTTCCACATTCCCAGTGGGATCTCTTAATGAGCAGCTGAATGCCTGCTCCCAGAAATTCTGAACGAAACCATCTCCTTTTGCCCAAAAGGGTTTTATGCTCCCAGCAAATGTTTGGAAGCCAGGGGGCTCCTTTGAATGAACTGTGAAGGATAGGGCACCATGAAAGCTTTCTATATCCCAAAGCCTTTGAATTGATACTGAATCGAAATCCCATTGGGATGTAACAATCCAGACTTTACACACAGGTGGCAATGTATACATTGTTGCAAAAAACAGTAATATTCTTAAAACTTGGAGGGAGGGAACTTCTCCATATACAACACATGCATTGGTTTTTCCATCCGTTAAAACTTGATATTTGTCCAGCTGTTTTAAAACCATGTCTATCAACTCTTCCATATAAGTCCTCTTTGCTGTTCTAAATGTGAAGGCACAACAGATGCCGTTTTGGGATAACATTGACTCCATTGTTTGCAAAAACTGATCCCCACTGTCATCATCCACAGCAAGAAGCCCAATCCATGTCCATCTGAAATGGCGAAGTAATCGGACAACCCCCCTGTACTGATGGGCTTCATGTGGAACCATCTTGTACAAGGAAGAGAACAGGACTTTGTCATCCTGCACTGGGGAAATTGACCCATATGTAAGCTGAAAAGAAATATATAACAATTCATCACATGGACTATAGAGCATTACAATATCAGCCATCCTTCTAAAATGTCCATATCTCCATGCTTGGGTCTCACCTGTGGCATCTTGTAGATGGCGGAAATGGTGGCCACATTGGCAGAAGTTTCAGAAGCCAGCGCCCCAATGAGAGCAATGAGGTTGCTCCAGGCATCACACTGGAAGTTGGGAACAAGCCTATACTGTCTGGTAAGCAGGTTCAAGGTGGCCTTATAAGTCATTCTTGCTACATAGTAGCTGTTGAGAATGTGGAATCCCAAGGATATATTTGGAAGGATTTGGGGGTTCTCATTAATCTCTCTGATGGCAAAAACCAAGGCCAGAATATGCTGGTAGTTCTTTGGCACGGAACTGCAATGGGAATGGTTGACTATTAACCAAAGAAAATAGTGCCGGAATTTATTTCTCAGGTAATTGTAAAGAGAGTTACTGGCTATGTAATCAAACAAGCAAAAAAGGATTTCTCCTTTCATGGCCTACTTGGATGATTATGGCAGAACTTAAAACAAAAACAGAATAAGAAATGGGTGCATGTGCTCCTTTTGGAGCTTACGAGGGCACTAGCAGGAGCAAATGTGTTGGCTCCACTTCCCTCCCTGCCCTCAACTGCACCTTGAGTTAGAACCGTCTGTATTCATGAATGCTTTCCCTGTTAGCAACCCCCTTCACTGGAGAACCCTGCTTTTCCTGAGCAGAGCTATGAGCAAGCTCCCATGACTGCTGGAATTCCACCTTCCTCTGCTGTTGCTCTGCTGAATGATCTGAACTTGTCATAATACTGAAAGGGAAAGAGTCTTCCTTACACTGGCTTTGCCAATCAATGTCTGGGTGGGCCGTTCCATGAAAGAGGGACTGCGGTGAAAGACAAAGACCTGGGAAGCAATCTCTCCGATTACAAAGTCTCCTGGCTGATAAAATTGATGAGGTATAGGAAGAAGATCGTCAGATATACTGCAGTTAATGGAATTGGTTTGGCATACAGAGTAAGGCAGCAGCAGAAGGGAGAGGAGGACTGGCAGCATGATCCTGTGGAGCTCAGCCTGTTCTTTCCACAGCATCTTCTGTCTGAATCCTCTCTTTCTCTTGCTTCGGTGAAAGGAATAAGCTGAACTCAAGGTGGTTTTCTTTTAAAAAGACTCAGAGGCAGCTGTACAGCTTGAGGGTGAAAATAAATGAAACCTTAAAGTTTGTAAATAGACAATTTCACATATGGTGGGGGAAATCCTATGGTACTAAATCAGACAGAATCATTGACAACAGGAAATGCGCTGTAAAATCTTT